ATACAAAAAACTAGCTGGGCATGGTGGCGCGTGCCTGTAATCCCAGCTATTTAGGAGGCTGAGACAGGAGAATTGCCTGAGCCCAGGAGGTGGAGGTTGCGGTGAGCCGAGATCGCGCCATTGCACTCCAGCCTGGGTAACAAGAGCGAAACTCCGTCTCAAAACAAACAAACAAACAAACAAAAAAAAAAAACGTCAAAATAAGCTGGGCATGATGGTGGGCGCCTGTAAGTCCAGCTACTCGGGAGGCTGAGGCAGGGAGAATTGCTTGAACCTGGGAGGCGGAAGTTGCAGTGAGCCGAGGTCGCACCATTGCACTCCAGCCTGGGCAAGAGAGAGAGAGAGACTCTCTCTCAAAAAGAAAGAAAAGAAAAGAATAAGTAAATACACCAACCACCCAAATGTAGAACGTTAGCACTTAGTCAAATTTTATTGTCTTTTTTTTTTTTTTTTTTTTTTTGAGAAGGAGTTTCGCTCTTGCTACCCAGGCTGGAGTGCAACGGCGCGATCTCGGCTCACCGCAACCTCCGCCTCCTGGGTTCAGGCAATTCTCCTGCCTCAGCCTCCTGAGTAGCTGGGATTACAGCACGTGCCACCATGCCCAGATTAATTTTTTGTATTTTTAGTGGAGACAGGGTTTCACCATGTTCACCAGGACGGTCTCGATCTCTTGACCTCGTGATCCACCCGCCTCGCCCTCCCAAAGTGCTGGGATTACAGGCTTGAGCCACCGAGCCCTACCTATTTTATTGTCTTTTTAAAGGGGAGGAAAAAAAAAACAAAACTTTTCAGATTAAGAAAACAAAAACCTTCAGAGGGATTTATCCCAGGAATAAAAGGGTGGTTCAACATAAGAAAAGCAATCAATGTAATGTACCACACTAACACAACAAAGGAAAAAAAACAAGCCACATGATTATCTCTAGTGATACAGAAAAAAAGCATTTGACATAAAATTCAACACCCTTTTGTGATAAAAAAAAAAAAAATGCTTAGAAAACTAGGAATAGAAGATGATTTCCTCAATACAATAAAGGCCGTTTATGAAAGGCCCACAGCTAACATCACACTCACTCATGAAAGGCTAAAATCAAGAAATCTCCCTAAGATCAAGAACAAGAGAAGGATGCCTGCTTTCACCACTGCCACTCAGCATTATCCTGAAAGTTCTAGCCAGAGCAATTAGGCAAGAAAAAGAAATAAAAGGCATTCAAATTGGAAAGGAAGAAGTAAAACTATTTCTGTTCACAGTTGACATGATCTTATAGATAGAAAATCCCAAAGAATCCGTAAACAAAAAAGCTCCCAGAGCTAATAAATTCAGCAAAATTGCAAGGCCCAAGATCAACACACACAAATCAGCTGTGTTTCTACACACCAGTAATGGACAAGCCAAAAAGGAAATTAAGAAGCAATTCCATTTATGAAAGCTTTCAGAGCATATGAGGATTGGGTATCAGAACAATCTTGCAGGCTTTTGAAGTGGAATCATCTCGTTAGTAACGGTCCTTGGCGGAGGCACATGCATCAGTGCCTTTAATTTTTTATGCATGTTACTGCATCTCATATTAAGTAGAGCAAATAGATTTGCTGGGGATGGTAACGTGGACGGCACAGGACATGTGTAAGAAGCTGAACCACATCCACAGGCAGGTCAGAGTGGCCTGGGTCTTAGCCATCCTGCCTCCCTTCACGTCTCAAGAGTCACAGGAAGATGGGAAGCAAAACCTCAGGCCTCTTGGAGGAAATCAGGTCTCAGTCAGCCTTTCCGGGAGGTTAAGGGGACTTATTAGGCCCAGGAAACTGTTTACTGTGGATGGTGTTTTTCACTAGACTAGTTTTTGTGGGGTATTTTTAAGTTAAAGAAGGAACTAAAAGTGTTTTTAATTATAATCTTTTTAGGGCGACTAGGGCCCAGAAAGATGAAGTGTTTGCCAAGTATTGCCACATTTCTTAGCTCTCCATGTTCCAAAGACTCTAAAAGCTGAAAGGTGGCTCCCTCACAGAGATAGCTCTCTTAACTCTTGCTGTGTTTCTGTTCCTCTTTCTTGCTAACAGCTAAGTAACATCTGCTGAGACGGAAACACTAGGAAGAGAAAAGTTCCCAGCGATTTGCTGAAAGGGAATGAGCCCTACACTGGGAGCCAGAAGCTCTGTGTTCTAGGTGGGCTTCTGCAGCACCCCAGCAGTGTAGATCTGAGCCTATCCCTTCCCTTCAGTGGGCCTTGATTTTTGTCTGTAAAGGAGAGAAGATCAGGGGTTGGGAGGCGCAGAGATCCTTTTAATTTTGACATTCTGGTTTTTCTTAAAAGCCAAACCCTTCACGAATTCAAAAGAACTTTAAAAGAAGAGGGAAGTGACACTGATTGGAAATGGGAAGATGAAAAGAGAGACAAATTGTAAACGTTGGATAGGAGACTTTTCTATTCTAGACCACTTCTTTCTACTGGGCCCAAACTGAGTTGATACCAGAGGTTCACGGGGACTCAGGAGGGGGCCAGATTAGGCAAGGCAAGAAAAAAATAGCACTCTTTTTTTTTTTTTTTTTTTTTTTTTTTGAGATGGAGTTTCACTCTCATTACTTAGGCTGGAGTGCAATAGTGTGATCTCGGCTCACTGCCACCTTCGCCTTCCTGGTTTAAGCAATTCTTCTGTCTCAGCCTCCTGAGTAGCTGGGATTACAGGCATGCGCCACTGCACTTGACTAATTTTCATATTTCTAGTGGAGATGGGGTTTCATCATGTTGGCCAGCCTGGTCTAAAACTCCTGACCTCAGGTGATTCACCCACCTCGGCCTCCCAAAGTGCTGGGATTACTGGCGTGAGTCACCGCACCTAGCCCAGACCAAGGCTTACCAGAGAAGCCAGATTCCAGAAAAGGCTCAAATACTCAAAGCTTGCCTACTCACCTGTGGGCAAATACACATTTTTATGGACTACCTTTTGAGGGGAAAAGAGGTGGAGGGGATCTGCGGGAGCAAATCAACTTCCAAAGGATGAATAAATGGGCACTTAAGTGAGATGGGAGGCCTCGGAGTGCTACTTAGTTTTTCTTCCCAATTCTATTAATTTGGCAAACATCTATAAAGTGCCTACTGTGTGCCGAGTGTTGTGGGTGGTCAGATAGGGTGTTTGGCTGGAAGGTATTCGCAGGGAGATAGGCATGTGCACAAACACCCAAAGATCTAAAATACAAAGCATGGCTCACTGACAATCAACGAAAATAAAAAATGCAAAGCAGAATGTGAGACCTGCCCCAAGGAAATTCAGATAAACTGCTGGAGAAGATCAGATTAGCAGCTGTTCTCTTTCACCTGGAAATGCTGTTCTCTTTCACCTGGTATTCTCTTTCACCTGGAAATGCTGTTCTCTTTCACCTGGAAAGTTCAGGAAATAGACACTAGGGGCTGGAGCCCAAATCTGAAGAACCTTCTCCATTCTTCCAACAGTAGCAATGTTCCCTGGTTCCATTTTACAGAAGTGAAAACCAGGACAGAGACACGAGCAATTATTTGCTCTCTGATCATCCAGGTGGTTGGCAACACAGCCAGGTAGAAAACTACAAACTGATTGAAAACTTCCCATAGAAACCAATGGTGAAAGCATGTACCACCAGGAAGCTCATCTTAGAAGACGAAATCCATAGACCTGTTCCCTCTGTCTCCCTTCTTAGGTCAATCCCAAAGACACACCAACCAAAAGTCAAAACAGGATAAAAGTAAATTTCATAAGCAAGCTGGAGTCATGTGTATCTCTGGCCTGAGGGGATCCAAGGTCTCTGCAGTGACAGATCCTACACCTGGGAAGGCCATTGTGGGAAATCTCCAGCCCCATTATAAGTGAGTTGCCGGGGACCTCATGTAGGGGGAACAAGAGCTAGCCGGCAAATGAAAACCCAGGCAAGCCCTCTGCTTTTGCACAGTGAACGAACGTGGCCACAGGCTTCTCAGCACTGAATTTGAACGAGCCAATGGTATCCCAATCATTGAAACAGGAAGCCAGATAAACAACAGCATGTTATCAAGGGGGGGATGCAGCTCTTCCCTTAAGCCGGCGCCAGCTGCGCCCTGTGACTGTCCTAACAAAGTCCCATTGACTCACCAGCTGATTTTCCTGTGTTCGGCTCCGGGGGACAAGGAACCCTCTCTGCCGGGTGGACGTCACCCCTGCACATCGCCCCCGCCACCCGCAACTCGCGTCCTCTCCAGTTCCTGCCTCCCCTCTCTGCCCGCTGCAGACTTGGCTGCTTTTTTATCCTATGACCAGTTTTTATCGGCTCTGAGGATTAGCAAGGACAAGAGCCCGAGACCCGGGAGCGCTCAGGTGAGCTCCCCGTGTTCACCCAACCTCTGCGTTCTCCTCCCTCCCCTGTCCTCCGAAACCACTTTCTCTGCTCCCAGACGCGCTGGGCGGGCGCCAGAGAGGACGGCCCCCAGGAGATTGGCGGCAGGGCGCTTCTCGCCGCATCCCGGGGGTGCGGGGAACGTTTTCTGGAAGGCCCGCAAGGTCACCCGCCCCAGCTGTTCCTCTGGCTCCTGCTGGGATGGGAGGAGTTAACTCTTGCTTCAGCGAACGGCAGAAGTGCGGGTAGGGTGCGTGCAGGTCGTGTGGGTGCGAGTATAAGAACGCAGCACCTGGTGTCTGCTGATAAGATCTCAACGCACTTTAAATTGCAGGCATTTCACAACAAGGAAACTGAGGCTCAGAGGGACTGAAGTTGGGCAGCCCCTCCCCCGCGAGTCAACTCCAGAATCAAACGCGCAATCGGGCCGGTAGTGGTCGAAGGGGCACACACCTCGCTGGGAAGCCGCGATCATCTAAGTAGTTATTTATTCCAGCGACTCTCCCGAGCCCAGCCAGCAGCCTCCCCCGGACACCAACCTCCCCTACCCCGGGCCTTGGTCTTGGCCGCGCAGGACCTGCCAGCCGAGCCCAGCAAAATGGGAAGCTGCAGACCCCCAGCGCCGCGACCACGCGACCTCCCCTCGCCGGCCACTCACCGGAGCGCCTGCCCGCTCGGGCTCCGGGTCCGCGCCGCCGCCGCGCAGAGTCGCGCATCCCCTAGGGCAGCGCGGGTGCGGGGTCCGCTCCTCGCGAGCACAAAGTTTCCCGGGGCTCCCCGGGCCGCCTCGGCCCCTCGCACCAGGCTCAGCGTCCGCCGCGCGCTCCGGCCTCGGACCCCGCACTAGGGCCGCCGGCGGCCCCAGTCCCACAATGAGGAGGGAGGCGGCAACCTGAACAAAGTGCCTCCCCCCCGGGCCCGGCGGTCGGGGCGGAGCCTCGTGACCCGCTGCCCCAGGCACACGCCGGCTGCCTCCACGGCGGGCCCGGGAGGGGAGTACCCGGCGGTCGGGGGCGGGCGGGAGGAGAGGATCCGCTCCGATCGCCCTCGCTTTCCTCCCCCTGCACTGTGCCAGTTTAACCCGCAGAGGGGCGGAGGCATGGGTCCCTTCCAGACTTTGTCATTGGAAAGCTATTCCCGTAACCCTTTGCTGCCTTCGCCTTCCCGCCCCGCCTCCCAGGCTGGCCTCAGAAAGGCGGCAGCTCGGTGGCAGAGCCGCGAGCTGGCAGGGCAGGAAGCCTTTGCACAATCGAGCCTTTCCTTTGCTCGGGAACCCGCCACCGCCACTTCCAGGCCGGGCTTCCTCCCTCCCCCACATGGCGTCCGGGTACCGCTGATTCAGCCGCAGTTAGAAGGGGGCAGATGGATGGGCCAGCCTCTCCACCGGACTTCTGACCCCGGGCACCCACTTCCTTTCTTTCTCCACCCCACTGAACTGTCATGCTCTCTGAGCTGGAACTCTTAGGTGCAGAGGAGAGGGGATGCCCCGCAAGTGCCCCGCGAATAGTAGGTGCTCAGTAACTTAAGTGATTTCTCCCCACCTTCCGGACTGCCGACGACCCTCCTCCTCCTTCCAGGGACTTGGGAGTGGGAGGAGGAGGAAGAAGAGAAAAGAGGAAGCGACCGGACCTGAAGAGAGTGAATGGGACGAAGACCCTCAGCCAGAACCCACTGCAAACTCCCTGCAGCTCAAGGCCCCCGCCTCCTGGCCTGGGGACTTACAGGGTCTGCCGAAGAAGGCAGAAGGAAGTCAGGTGGCCCCAGCTTTAAAGCAGGCTTTGAGCTACAAGGGAGAAAGGGAGTAGCTGTGGCCAAGAACCCAGCAGATTCCCCTGCTCCAGCCAACAAATATGAGGACTGATTTATTCCCAGGGCCATGGGGTTGCAAGTTGGAGGGCTGATGGGTAGAAAGCAAAACTGCCTGCTCCCTGGGAGGTCTCAGAGCTCTACGCCAGCAAAATCAGTGTGAGCAGAGTCAGGATGAGAGCCCTTGAGTCTTTCCTAAACACCCCCACCCAGTCGGTCAGTCACAGTGGCTTTGAATATGGAGAGATGAGACACTAGACAACGGACAAGCAGCGACATTGAAGAAGTTCCCAATTGATTAGGGAAAAAGATTTGTATGATTTTTGTCCAGGAAGGGAGTGAATTGCCTTTTGGCAAGGGATAAGGGGGTGGACTGCAGAGTGACACCATTACTCTCTGCATAAAAACTAGAAGTGTGGGCTCTTATGACTGCATGGGTTCAAATCCTGGATCAACAATTTTTTAGCCATGAGAACTTGGATTCTTTAACCTCGGGCTACCGCAGTTTCTTCTTCTGTAAAATGCGATAATAATAGTTCCTATCTCCTAAGAGTGTCGAGAGGATTAAATGAGATAGTATAGGTGACACACTTAGAATAGTAGCTGGCGCATAATAAATACTCAGTAGGTGGCTCACACTTGTAATCACAGCACTTTGGGAGACCAAGGCATGTGGATCACGAAGTCAGGAGTTTGAGACCAGCCTGGTCAACATGGTGAAACCCCGTCTCTACTAAAAATAAAAATTAAAAAATCGGCTGGGTATGGTGGCGGGCGCCTGTAATCCCAGCTACTTGGGAAGCCGAGGCAGGAGAATCGCTTGAAACCGGAAGGCGGAGATTGCAGTGAACCAAGATGGTGCCACTGCACTCCAGCCTGGGAGACAGAATGAGACTCTGTCTCAAAAAAACAACAACAGAAAAAAAAAAACACAAAAATTAGCCGGGCATGGTGGCATGTGTCTGTAGTCCCAGCTACTCAGGAAACAGGCAGGGGAATCACTTAAACCCTGGAGGTGGAGGTTGTGGAACCAAGATTGTGCCACTGCATTCTAGCCGAGACAACAGAGCAAGACTCCATCTCAAAATAAATAAATAAATCAATTAATTAATTAAATTAAAAAAATAAATACTTAGTAAATATTAGCTGTTACTTTGATCTTGAAGTCCTCTAACTCTGCGCCCAATTTGGCATTCAATGATATGCTAGCTAGAATCCTTTTGTGCTCTTCACAGTCCTGCAAAGGGGAGCCTGGTCCTTTAAGAAGAAGCACTGTCCTTTCTTGAGAGTTCATAAGGCAGGGCCCCAGGGACCAAGGACCACGCAGTAGGCATGCAAATGACTGTCAGAAGATGAAACGACTCCTTGGCCCATTGTGAGGTTGGATGCATAGCTCCCATCCACACTGGTAATGCTGGCATGATGTCATTCCTTGGGTGCTACCCAGAATGGAAAAGAAGGCCAAAGCTATAATTTTGTGAGGGTTAGATCTCTTCCATCAGTACATAGGATCAATATTTCTCTCCCACTTAAGAGTGGCTGCTCATACCAGTTCTCCCTGACGCTGCTTCTAATGTCCCAATCAATCTGGGTAATGCGATCATTTGTACCCCAAACCCCAGCATCATGAAATACACCCAGGTAACAAACCTGCATGTGTACCCCCTGAATCTAAAATAAAAATTCAGAAAAATGTCCTACTAGAACTTCAATAGTAAACCTGTATACGTAGGCAAACATAATAGCACGTGGACAGTCTGAGGAAGGAAGGAGTAAAGGGGACAGTCTGGTTGGGGTGACAGGCAGAGGATATGAAAGCAACTGAAAGAGAAAGTGGATAGGACAGAGCAGCAGGGAGGAGAAGCCAGAAGTGACTTTGGACAGAGCACTGTTTGGGTAACAAACGGGGTCCCCGCCCATCCCAGAAGTGGCCTCTGCCAAATGCCTACTTTGTGAGCAGTTTTTGTCTGAACACAGTAATGACTCAGTTGCTCTGTATCTAGCAAATGGATTTTCCTTAAATATGAAAATCAATAAGAGGTAAAGGCAAGGACCTGGCTGTGAGGAGGGGAGGATGGAGAGGGTGGGAGACGTGCTGGGGCGTCTGATGGAAGGAGGGAGATTCAGGATCACAGCAGGAGACCCTCGGTGTAGTCCTCTGTACCCCCACTCCCCACCGAGAAGGTGTTCTCTCTCTTTTTTTTTTTTTTTTCTTTTTGAGACAGAGTTTCACTCTTGTTACCCAGGCTGGAGTGCAATGGCGCGATCTCGGCTCACCGCAACCTCCGCCTCCTGGGTTCAGGCAATTCTCCCGCCTCAGCCTCCTGAGTAGCTGGGATTACAGGCACGCGCCACCATGCCCAGCTAATTTTTTGTATTTTTAGTAGAGACGGGGTTTCACCATGTTGACCAAGATGGTCTCGATCTCTTGACCTTGTGATCCACCCGCCTCGGCCTCCCAAAGTGCTGGGATTACAGGCTTGAGCCACCGCGCCCAGCCCGAGAAGGTGTTCTCTAGGTCCTGCTGGCCTCACTGAGGTTCCTAAAACCCAGTAGCGTCCCCTCTTCTCCTCCTCCACAGCCTAGAGCCAATTCTGCTTTGAGGCAGGAGATTGGTAGCAAAAGGATCAATGTCAACCTGAACAAATGAGCTTTCAAAAATCAGCCCAGAAGCATGTTGTCACCCCTCTAGAGCAGGTGTCCCCAAACTTTTTACACAAGGGGCCAGTTCACTGTCCCTCAGACCGTTGGAGGGCCCCCACATACTGTGCTCCTCTCACTGCCCACCAATGAAAGAGGTGCCCCTTCCTGAAGTGCGGCGGGGGGCCGGATAAATGGCCTCAGGGGGCCGCATGCGGCCCGTGAGCCATAGTTTGGGGACGCCTGCCCTAGAGTGTCAGAACTGGCCTTGGATGAGATAAGAGCTTTGGGAATCCCAGGAAGCATGGCAAGTGACATTTTCAGCCCCAGCCTGATTTCTGTGTGGGCTTTGCCTGTTTTCCTGCTGCCTTGAGGTCTGTGAACCAATGCCAATTTTTTTCTCTGCTTGGGTTATGTGACATGGGACTTTTTGGGGATCTGAACCCTTCCCGGGGGCCACATGGAATGCAGGAGCCTTCCATGTGGCCCCCGGGAAGACCATATTTCCCCTGCAGACTCACTTGCCTGGGGCTCCCAGAGCAGTTTGTGAGGTCCTTGGCAGGGATATGAAGACAACATATTGCTTTATTTTCTTGAGGATTTAATGAGCGTGGCTGGAGCTTGTGAGGTGGAGTCCGAGGCAGCTTCTGACTTCCTCCTCTGAACACAGTGGAAAAACACTGGGCCTGGCTTCAGAAGACATGACTCCATGCCTTGGTTCTGATGCTGGCCGAAGTGTATCACCTCAGTTTGCTCATCAGTAAAAGAGAGTGTTAACATCCAGGGGACAAAAATACCCACCTACCAAGGCCGTGGTGAGTATTCAGTGAGATCATGGAGGAGAAAATGCTTTATCCAGTGATGCTGACATATAAGCAGGAGTGGGTTTATCAAACAGAAAGCATCGGCTCCTGTTCCCAAGCCCGCCTCGCCTCCCCACCCCAGTCAAATTCACTCTGGTTATGGAATCAGTGCTTGAAAACCCATTTTTCAGTGATAGAAATCGGACTGTCCACTAACAACCCTTGTCCTTTCCAGCTTGATTCCTTAACCAGTGAGGCACTTCCCATGCTAGTGGAATGGGGTCGGGCATGGGTGAAACAGGCACCTCCATCCTTGGCCACTGTGACCTCAAGACTGGCCCTGGGGCCCCCTTTCAGAAGGGCCCTCTGTGTTGACTGCTGGAGCTTACAGGGACCTGGGAAATTAGTCCATAGGGAAAAGCTGGCAGAGTAATGAATGTTTTACGAGAGGGAGCCAGTCACTGCCTTATCGGGAAGATGATGTTTCTCACTCTCTCTCTGGTACCAGGAAGTGAGATTTGCTGAAAGCCATCTCGGTGTTTTTCCAAAGATGGCCTTTGAAGAGGAGATGTTTCTTTAAGGGGCCAGGAGAGTAGGGGTGGGGTTTGCAGGGAGAAAACCTGCCCCTTTAAGAAGCCTGGTTCTGACTGTGGCAATCCTGTGGTAAGGAAGATAATAATAGTCCCTACTTATATAGCACTTGCTGTGTGCCAACTGCTATGCTAAGCGTTTAACATATATTAACCCATTTAATCCCCACAATAACTCTACGAAATCTGTATTACTTTTTATCTCCATTTTACAGGTAAAGAAATGGAGGTCGGCTGGGCATGGTGGCTCACACTTGTAATCCCAGCACTTTGGGA